CCGCGCGCGCGCACGCACAAAACCCCAAGCACCGACGTTTTTTCCCCCCAAGAATATTGTCAGAGGTTTTAAAAGCATTGTATAAGTATGTAGTATGGTTTACTGCGGGACTTTGGGTTTACTAGTTTCTTCTTTTGCTTGACTTGATTTGATTTGATTTGATTTGATTTGATTTGATTTGATTGCTTAATTCCAAAGCTAAACTGTGAAAAAAATTTCAAGAGACAATGTGAAATAAGACTTTCCCTCTCTCTCTCTCTCTGTCTCTCTTTCTCCCGCGCGGTAAAAACAGGCATGCGCGTATAAAATCGACTGAGGATGGGGAAGGGATTTTGAGTCGTGCTCCTTTCTGCTTGGTCATCCCACCAACCCCCCCATCCCCCAACTGGGGGGTGTGTGTGTTTATTTTGCGGCTGGTAAATGGACAAGGGTTCTTGTGCTTCTAGAAGCATGGAAAGGGAAGCGGGAAGAGAGATTATGGTCACGCGATGGGGCGATGGCATGTTTTTTTTTCCGAGGCCCGCGTATATAGCAAAAAGGTATTACGGGACGGGTGGTGGTGTGCTATGGAAGGATTTGGGTTGATGAGGATGGTAGATGGTAAGGGTTTGCTGGTAAGCAGTCAATTTAGATAGGGTTGGAATGATGACGGTGACAACGAACGATGTAATCGCTATGATGAGAAACCGTTTTTTTTGTGGAGATTATCCCGCCTCCAAAGTGGAAAAAAACAATTGGCCGAGGTGTCAAAAAGGCTTGTTGTATTTCTTTTCTTCACTTAAACTCTTCTTGTTTTATTAACTAGCTCTGCGAAACCCACCTACTTTTACTATGCATGATGCGGGTTAGTTAGTGCCAGAATGGGGGCAGTGCTTTGTGGGAAATCTCGCAAGGACGGGCTTGTTTAAGGATAAGGTAGTTTAGAAGCCGTCGAACTGATTTCGAACTATCGTCAAGTTCACACGATACAAGGGACCACAACATGCGCTAGGACGGAATATCCACTTCGTCGTGTCTCTCTATCTCTTGAGTCGTGAGAAGAAGGGCATGGGTCAATGTATTGTTTCGAGAAGCGGGATTGCCCTCAGGATGCGTGTCATGTCACATCATCTGGCCCTTTTCCAATATGAGACTCGTTCGTTCCCTTTTTGGTGGGGAAGGGGGGGGGGTAATGGGAGGAGGGATCGGTAGTTGTGTGGAAAGAAAAGCGACCGAGCTTTTGTTTCATCGCTGGCCAAAACTCTCACATGATGTTACACAGAATAGGTATCACGGCAGTTGAAAGAGTGGGTTTGATGATGAGGGCTCCTGCTCCCAAAAAAGAACGAAGAGAGAAAAAAAAGGTGAAGCGGTAAATTCCCTCAGCAAATAGCGCAAACACGGTCAAGGACCACCTATGACTATGTTCCAAACCGGCCCTATTATTGCTGAACAGACAACAAAAAATCCCCCGGGCCTCGCATTAGAATTAGGGCCTTTTTTTTCGTTATTGAACAAGCGGACGCTTTTTTCCAACGTTCCCAGCTATACGGAAAGCTTGCTTTTTGCCTGTATTGTACACGAGTATGCGGGCACACCGGACTGTCAGGTACCGAAGAACAAAACAGACCAGTAGCGTTCTAACCTAAACGCGTTGCACTATCTGTCTCCCTCCTGAAATATTACTAACGCATCACCCTAACGCATAGCTTGACTGACCGCTTTACTGTTGTGATAATGACAATTAACCAGCCCGTCTACTAGAGTCGCCGTAAAAAAGCGATGACTGTGACATTGTTATTGCTTTGAGACACCGACCTCACTCCTCATCGGAGTCGTCTGCGCGACTTGTGTCTCATACTTCTCGATTTGGTCAATTGAACTGAAATGCAAGGTGGAGAGAGAGGGCGCGCGCGTATGTGTGGGTGCACGGTGTTTGTGTGTGTGTTGATGCCCACCGCATCTTGTCGTCTTCATCGGCGCGAATAGAGCGAGAGAGAAAAAGGGAGGGCGCAGGAAAATCACTTGGTAGTCGGTGCGATTTCTACCAAGTGATCGACCTTGGGGCTGGACGGCAGTTGAGTAGTAATCCACTGGGTAGGGTGTTGGATGGTTTGGGAGGCGCCAAGTTTTCTGCGATCGCTAGCCCTGATGATCAGATTCACAGCCAGCATGTGTGTGTGTACGTGTACCCTTCTATTCCGAGTCCGTGTCCGTGTTGTTGTGTGTTTGTGTGGTGGAATATGCCGGAGCGACAACGGTACGGAAGGGCCGGATTTGCAGGTGGCACGACTCGGACCATCCGGCCAGTGACGATTGTGCGCCCGTTTGAGCGACTGAGAGACAATCGGAACTCGGTCCTGTAGGTTGCGCCGAAATGGCCGACACGGCGGTTGGGAGAGGGAAAGGAGTGGAAGTGTCGCCGGGCTGTCCTGGCGTTAGGTATAGGGGGCTTCTGTCGTGTTTCACCTGGAAAGATCCGTGACAGGGTATGCACGTCGACTATTGCGCATTCCGTAAAGTCCAGAGAGAAGTCGAAGTGCTTGTGCATTATGATTGTGTGTGCGTGCCCCTCTCTGGACATGGATGTCGAGTACATGTGTTTGAAATGCGTCGAGGCGGGTTTGTATTCGGTGCGACGCGCAGACAGGACGGCACAGCACAGTAGAGGCAACAAGATTTGCTAATGCACCTTTCTGCTGGCATGTGTATTTATTTTTATTCCTGGATAACGTCATGTACGATTTCCCATGTGGGATGCAAGATCAGAGCCAAAGAAGGGTGAGCGACATGTCAGACTGCCCGCTGGCTCAACCCCCGCGTGGAGGGAACGGCATAAGACATGTCCCCCTCAGCCCTACAACGTTCGCGACCATCAGATCAGTAAGCCCTTGCGCGAGCAACCGTCCGTGGAGTAAGCAGCAGGTCCCCCCCGTCAATCAATCGCTTTCGGCCCAATTTGAGTGCTGACCAACTACTCAAACGTGCCAACGTGGGAGCAATCTGGGGTAATAAAACGCACCCATGACAGCGCCTGGCAGTTATGGCAGTTTAACGCGAAAGTCATTGCAACCCGACAAACGGCTTCAACAATCGGCTTTGTGGAAATCTGCTCGCTGGGCGATATGCAAAGTGGACCTGCTACAATCAGGAGATGAGAGAAAACAGGCCTGTCGGACCCGACAAGCTGTTCACCCTCCGTGTTCGGGCTCCGGTGGCCCTGCGTGCATGCATGGTAGGTACATGGAATGCGAGTCCATGATTGCAAATCGCCGACTATCTACCCAGCCCTAGGCTTGGGCTGGCACGAACCAAAATGAAGGCCGCCAGGGGTGGGGTGTTGCGCTTTGCCTCGTTAAGAAAGCGTTGCGGGAGTTCAATGCGATGCGCATTGGCCCGGAGAGGCTTAGTGTCCTTTGTTTCCGCGCAAGGCCCTTTGAGCTTCTTTGTGGGTGGTCATTGGTCAAGTCGTTTGCACGTCGTTGGTCAGGCTAGCGTGGGAATCCAAGGCTGACCAGCAATGGCTGTCCAAGTGGATTTTGGACACATGCACATGGCTAGATACATACTTATGCAGCGGGAATTGCCTCTGTACTCGGCGTACACAGTCCGCGGCGGCTGGGTGTAGACGGGACGTATATGCAAGACGGTCTAACGCCTAGCGTCGCGTCAAAAATGTCTCCAAACTTAATCAGGCGGTGTCGAGATCGTGAATGCGTGCCAAGATGGAATTTTAGAAGGTGGAATTTCCGACAGAACGGCCGTTGAAGACAAGGCAGAGGGATGGATTGAGTGCTTAGCGGCTTGCGATAGTTACCGGCGCTAGGGGATGGGACCAAAGCTTCCATGGCTGTCAGTAGAGAGGTTTTGCAGCGTGCATGTAAGTAAGCAGGCCTGTACAGTATGTAAGCACCTCTGGCCAGCCACGCGCTCGGAGCACCAACGACCGGGGAGGTATACAGACTGCATGTACCGATGTATGTACGTACATACAGGCTGGACATGTATACACAGTGTATGATACATGGTGTACTTTGGATGACTGGCTGCAAAAAAGGTGGCACCACCCGTCTGTTTTGAAATGTGACCAAAGACGTGCTGTGTCATTCTCAGCAAGCAAGCGCGACGAGAGCAGGACCGGGGAGCAGTGACGTGCAAAGTAGTGGTACTTTAGTCTGTCGCCCGCGGCCTCAGGTGGGTGTCGTGGGTATCGTGGGCAGTGGGCTAGAGAGCGGTAGGTAGGGTGAGTCTGGCAACCAGGTACAACCTCGTAGACAAGGCACGGTTGGACCCGCGAATGATGCCTGCGCCACCACATCGTTGCACGCTAGCCAGGCCGTGCTGCGTCCAGCTGCGCCCCTCGGAGCCAGTTCCGTGCCGCGTGTGCGTGTTGCAGCCTCACGTGATCCTAGCCGGTTCCCGAGTGCCCGCCAGGTCCTTGTGGCTGCCTTCATCTGTTTCTGGCATGTTTCGCGCAGGCGGCCCTCTCTGTATGCCCAACCGCCATTGCACACCTTCACCTCCATCGTGGGGCCTCGCGGGACAGTCGGCGGCCCCCCACGTTGATCCGTTGTCGCAGTCGTTGTCGTCGTGCGTGTGTGGGTGTGCGGGTGCAAAGTGCGGCTGGTGGTGGTTATTTTGCCCTACACCGAGTTTGCTAGGCCCGTTCTAAATCAAAGCATCCACATGTACTACTTACTCTCCCACCACTACTGCTAGTACCATCCATCATATTGGCTTGGACGCTCCATGGCGCAGTCGCTTGCCCCGCACCCAGAGGCTGAAGAGGCACGCGTAGCAAGCGAGCATTTTCGCACCATGCTTCCACTTCAGGACCCCGAGTAGCATCTATCCAGACCTATTTGCGTCGCCTTGGGCCAGAGATGTCTTGCTGCTTGCCTTCTTGCTCGCTCCTCGGCTTGCTCGTGGCTACGCTGCACACACGCACATGTGATTACATCCGCCCCAAGCCTCATGACCTAGCAGCTGAGAGATAGGCGCAATCACAGAGTCCTCAATGGCTGCCACGAGATGCACCATTCTAGACCATGTTGCCTCTTTGAGTTCTGATTCCGACTGGCGACAGCCATCCCACCATCTGATGACTTGCATCCTCACACCCGTCTGGAGGGGGAGCAAGGGGTGACGAGGGGGGTAGCGCGGGGTAAGTGCTATGGTTGCCCACCCATTGCCATCTTGCTCAAAATTCGATAAACCCTCGCTTTTGCGCCGTTGTACATGCTCATCTTCATAGAGTAGTAGCAAATGCCATCTCATTTCCCACGCGATGCACCGAAGGCCATGCTGAAAGAATCTTGATCTCTTTTTCCCACGCCGACCCCTGCCCTGTTCGTCACATCTACTGCACACCACACTGCATTCCCCGCCCCAAGTCCGCTTGCCAAATCTTGGTAGTGCAAGGCTGTAGAACACTTGCACTTGGAGCAAGGGTCAGCCATGATGCTGCTTCCGCTGCTACCTCCAAATCAGTTGCGCAACCACTTGGCTACGACCAGGCATGGAATGCTGGACCAATGATGGTTCGGACTTTAGACAAGGACGAGCCCGATACTCGTGGTGCCGGCGATAGCGATATGGCGTTTACAAGTCCGCCATGACGCACATCGCGCTGCAACCATCTCTCCGTCTCAGACACTCGACGGCCGAGAGGCGTATTGTGTGTATCCAGAGGCGTGGCCTGGAGCGTGAACTTGCACACAAGTGGACGGGCAACATTCCACGGACCAACACGCCTGACGACACACGTAGCAGCGCTGTTGAGCGACATTGCCCGACCATTCTGCGGGATTCTGCTGCTTTGTCACCGGTCGAGAAAGAAGAAAAAAAACAAAATGCACCACGCGCAGCCTCGTTCAGTAGGTTTCCGTCTTCAGCCCTACTGTTGCCTTGAGCGTGACGTGCTAGCAGCAATGCGCAAAACAAAAAGGTAGGCAAACATGCGTCACAGGCTGAGTAATTCGCCTAGGAGCTTAGGCGACATGTAGTAGGATTCCATGTGGCGTCCAATAGCATGCGAAGCCGTAATACCTTCTCACACTTGACAACCCGTAGGGCTTGACGATCCTGACTCGGGCTATCGTTCCCTCAAATTTATGCTCCACTATAAAAGTATAGGTTCTGCAAGACGACGGAAATAACCAAAAGCCGGCCTGGTTGCGATAGTAGTCTGAATCTAGAATAACCATGTACATGAGTATGTATGTATGCATACACAACGTTGGTGAGGAGAATTGGCTCAACCGCGGCATTGAACAGACAACGTTATTGCCAATATCTGCGGCAAATGTTCCTGCATGGGTTGTTGAATTCTTGAGTGGGGTTCTTTGTTTTCGCTTGCTGGTTTGGTGTGGGATGACAGTCGCAACTTGTAATGACAGTGCAAAAAAGAGCAAGACTTGGCCAGTTGCCGATGCAAGCCACTTCGGCAGCCCACCGTCTTAGTCATGGCCGTGTCCGCTGCAAGCGCAAATGTGAAATTCCCACAAACTATGCACAGCATTTGTCAACCGCGCCATGATGCGATTTTGGACCCCCGAAACGCGTGAGCGGGCGGGCCTGCCTGTGCCGACGCCCGATGCTCGGGGTGTGCTTCATTGGCGTGCTCGCGTTGAGCGCGCTTGGTGTTGGCAGTGTCCGAGTAAGTAGTGTGTAGTCGTACACAATTGCCCTGTCTTGTGTGTCTGGACTCGAGCCTGTGCCGAAGAGACCCACTTGCAAATGTGACTGCACGGTGCTGCGTCCTCGAGCACGCTATAGTGCATGCATGTCTCGAAGGAGCGCACCACCCCGTCCCAAAGGGCCATGATGCGGCTGATCGAGGCCTTGATTCTGCCTTGGGGGCTGCAACGTGACGGAAACAAGAATGTGATGCGGTTGCGCAAATGGGCAGCCGCCAAAAGGTCGAGGGCCGAGACGCTCTGCTGCCAGACTGCCACGAGGCCTGACTATCCCCCCCGGTGCGGATGCACAGCGTTGGCGAGCGTCCGTGTGGCTAGGCGACCAATGGTTATCGGTGAAGACGCTGCTCGAGGCGCCATGGGCGCTTGGTTACTATACACCTCTCGTCTAAGCGAGCCTGCTGCATTCTGCCCAATATGCGACTAACGCCCACCACGCCCTCGCATCCTTCTCGACTTTGTTTGCAAATGACAGTCCGTCTCGTCTACCCACGGCTTGTGCAGAGACGCGGTAGGCGTTCCCACCGCACTGGTCGTGCCCTCCTGCCGGTTACGCCCAGAAACCGGTGAACTCAATACCGTGCGAGCTTGGTCCGTATGCGGATACACGTGTATAGTCTACCCCTCACCTACTAATTCCAGAGAGAGAGGGTGTGTATGTGCGCGTGCGTCTGTGTGTGTGTGTGTGTGTGGTGAACGGTAGTTTGTCAGGACCTTGGCCCAAGGTGCTACTACAGCAACCAACACCCGGCGGCCACGGCAAGAGGGGACTCGTCGCTGGCATGGTATGCTTGACAAAATTACAGTAATGTCAGCTGCTATGTGCCGTAGGGCTATAGGGCTGCAAAGATGCGTTGAGGGGTATGCTGTCGTCAGAACGCTGGCTCGACTGGGTAGAGCGGCCGCTAAATATAGGCCCTACTATGCTCTTTCTCTGCCCCGACGAATCACCAAGTAGCGCACTCGCGGCTGGCGTCATTACCTGCCAACTCTGGCGACAGGATTAGCAGAAGACGCATTTGGCCAGCGGTTAAGAGCCTGTTATGTCAAATGCATTTGGACCGCAATTCGAATGCGAGTAGAGTAGTTTTGTCCACGGCGCCAGCAAGCAAGCGCTCATGTGGCCATTTTAGCACATTGCTCCCTCCCCCCCTCCCCCCACGACTGCGCAGTTTCTCCTCCTTTTGGACAATACTGTGGCCGGGAAAATCTCCAGGAAGGATGCTATGCTAGTAAATGAGGGCCCAGCAGTATGGCACTATACTTGACATGGTCACTCGCGCCATGCCCATCTCCACAGCCTACTATATGGACCTATGGCGCCCAGCGGTGAGATTCGGTCGGAACGCCCGACACAACGGTCGCCTAGGCCTGTCTACCTGTCTCGCTTCTGCTTCCACCCAATCACAGCTACCCGTTGATCCTCGCTAACAGGGCCCGTCGCTGAGCTAGCCGCTATAGGAAAAAACAGGGGTCTTCCAGCCTTACACTCTCACCGTCGGGACATCACCGACTCTGATATCGCGTAGAGTATACAAGACAGTAGTTGCATTTGCGCTGGTCGGCGTAGTTTGGAAGCGGACACGCCGCAAACCGGTGTGGCTCCAGTCGCAAGGCTGCACTCGAGTATTGCTAGTAGATGGATGCGCTTGGCGTTTGTGTCTCCGTACATTAGGCTTCCATGGCATGCACGTGTTGGACTTGCGATAAGTCCGGGAGTCCGGGGGGGCCACATCAGTCATGTCTAGTACCATGACGAGCCAAAATTTGCAGAACACCAAGTTGCACGAGTGAGCAGACGAGACATCCGGCTACTGCGCTAGCTGTCATGGTATTCGTGGATGCTGTCCAAACACACAAGTCCAATTCGCGCCCGGCATGCTCCGCCAGCGGGCAGCGCAGGGCGTAACTTCACCATGATGCGATGCGCAATAGCGTATTTCAAAGCACAAGTGCTACAGCAACCCCCCCGGTGGCAATGCACTGCTCCAAAACATCAAGACACTGTTTGTAGAACTTGGTCGCATCTGCCTCCTTGTCACTGGCCTTGATTCAAATGGCCAGGTGCTGATGGTGCTCGTCTAACCACCGGCCATGTGAAAACAAAAAAGACTTGGGGGTGATACCATGGCCATGGGAGGCAGGCATTTACTGGGAAAGCTTGTCTAGACAACCACAACAGCAGCCCACGTTCCAGTCGATCTACACCCACGATTGGAAATTCTTACGGGTAAATGGTACCATGTCCTGTCCATCGGCGCTTTACAACCACGCCTATATTGCTCTTGAACTTTTGGAACTTTTCAAATGGGAGCCTGTGTTTGCGCACGGGCGATGTTCCAGTATCGTTGGCAGATTGCACAACCCGGTCATTAACTCAACGACAACTATTGCTCCAAACAGCAGCAGAGTGGACCCCATCGCCCGGGCCCAGAGAAACCAGCTCATATGTTTGAGGCAAAGTGCATCCCATCGCCATTCTAGACGAGCTCCATACCCCACACACACGGCCATTGCAGTGTCAAATGGCAGAGCCCTCCCACCACAACCAGCCCACCACGCATCTTGGGAACATGCATGGCTTCGGCATGTACAACAGATCGGCATGACCACATTTCTCTTCAATTGGAGACAATTTTGCTCAGCTATCGTGGCCCACGGACATGTCTCAACTATCAAAGTCCAGCTCTCTAGTCGATTGGCCAGCTTTTTGCCATGATTCGGCCCCCACAATCTCCATGTGCTCGTCGGGGGTGGCCTGAAGTCGGAACACAGCCGCCTAGGGACAACAATGATGGAAGCGCTTCCGCATTAGTAGCGTCTCTCCGAGCCATAGATAGCAGCTGTCGGTATCAAGCCAAGTAGTATGCACAGCAATGGCTGCTACAAAGCACCCTCTTGGCGGGCTTGGGGATAGATGAGGTGAATGGGAAAGCGAGTCGTCGAGGGCGAAGCGGATGAGCCTCGGCCGCTGGGCGTAGGGCGTAGCGTTGGTGGCCAGTACCACGACCAGACGCTAGAGAGATGCCATCAATAGAAAGAGCTGAGGGCGCGTCTATCAGTGTTTCGACATGGCGTATTTGGGATAGTGATTGGCTGATGGCACAATGGTTGATTATTCTCGTAGCAACAAGCTTTAGGCTGAAAAGACCTGGGGACTGTTCGCCTTACCTCACCGACACTGCAGTAAGGTGCTGATGCGGCTGCGGTAGAGCATGGGAGGATGCGTAGGGCTGCTCAAGTGTGAGACGCTTGTTCTAGGGAAATTCTGGGGCTCTTTGCGTGGCTTGCGTGGGCAGTGGGTGGGTAGAGGGGAGGGGGGTTGTCCAACGGTCGACTGCGCAGCGCAGTGTACTAATTGGGGAGAGGGTGACAAAGCAGCCTTGGGTAGTGGTGATGATGGTGGTGGTGGTGGTGGTGCGAGGGCTGAAGTTGGTTGGCGGGGGGCTAGGCTCGATAGAGGATATGGTCGTACACAGCAAGTAGTATGGAGTAGGCTTCCTTCCCTATTCTATTGTCCACGACGGCACCGCACCGCAACGCAACGCAGGCCCAGAGAGTGCAGTCACCGTCGCAGCCGTGGCAGGCAGAGGGAGCTATGCACCATGTCGGCAGCGTCATTTTGGGACGGGCGAGTCGCGGTGAGTCGTCGCAGTGTCTGGAGATTGCGCATGCACAATGTCCTACGTAGGCAGCGCAGAGCTGGTGGTGGAGCAGCCAATGGCAGGTGGGGGGCTGAAGACGAGCAAGTGGGGCGTGCCAGCTCTGCCCAGTGGGCGCTGCACCCACGACGGCGCGAGGCACAGTGGATGGATGCGTGTCTGCTCTGGCTTGCGGCCCCCAGTTGCAGCACTGCATGCAGCATAGCGGAGGTGGAGGCAACGGCTGGCGCGGGCTGGCAGACAGAGAGAGGCGGTCGTCGAGCGTGGCCCCGCAAAGGCAAGCCGGACGAGCAACGCCGTGGTGGTGCTGTGAAGGCTCGAAGCGGACAGGGCCCTCGGGGGGAGAGAGAGAGGCATACGCACGCCGCACGCAGGGACCGAGATGGAGACAGCACACAGACTCGTGCCCAGGGCCGCGTGAAGTTCCGTCAGGCTCGAGCGGCCAAGGGACGTAGGGCTGTCGGCGATGAGCACTGGGCACACAGGGAGGGGGAGGAGGCAGACGCGTCGAGCGAGAGGCGGCATGGGTGGCATGGGGGCGGGCTCGCAGCGCTGAGCTTGACGAGGGGGTCGCTGGGGGCTTGACAGGCCTGACAGCCATGATGCTGATGGTCACCGCTCCCCAATAGCCCGTTTCGGCGCCCGTTGCTTTCAGTACAAGCCCATGCGCCCGCCGTCTCACCCTGCCGTGACCTCAGAAGCCTGCCGCGCCCTGGCCAGCCAAACGCTCACTGGCCCGCTGCCAGCCTGCGCTAGCGCCCATACTAAATTTACAAGACCGCAGTCGGTGAATGTACACCGGCCAGGGTCCCTCCAAACCGTACCAAATTGAGCAATGCTCAAGCCGGCTTCGACAGCCCAGGGTGCCTGCGCTGCGAGGGCCTGAAGCTGGGAACCAACACTAGTCCGTCTGTGCTCCACTCCAACGACTGCGGACGCTTCTTGAGACGGCGAGATAAATATAATGTCCTCCCCAACTGCCAGAGCCTCTTTCATTAATAGCCAGACATCCAGCTCAACCACTGAGTCTTGACATCTTCTCATTCTTCATCTTGCCTCGCCCATAATCCACCATCACCATATATAACATATCCTCCTTTTGAACAACCACCACCACTCCTCTACATCACTGCCTGTGGCTGCCTCCCTTAGCCACACTTTTACCCCCCCACCCACGTCACCTTCTTCCACCATGCATCGACACGCCAGTTACCAGTATGCCAGCCCAGTAGCAACCACTACACGATACTCGGGCACCTCGTCAGCCTTCTCAGCGTCGGCAAACCCCAACGAGGACTGGACAAAGATCTCGGATCTTGCGGAGCGCAGGCGTATTCAGAACCGCATTGCTCAACGCAACTACCGCAAGAAGCTCAAGAAGAGGCTCGAAGACCTTGTGAGTTCCCGTGCTACCGCACCTCGTATAGCTCGGAACAATGTACTGATGCGGGTGCAGGAGCGTCGTGCTGCCTCTAGCTCAGCTTCACCTGAGCAGAAGCCTGCCGAGCTGCAGCCACCTCAGCGATCACCGCGCCAGGAGTTCCCCTCACCATCTTCTTCGGAATCTTCCTACACCACCCCACCCGCCGAGGACCGCATGTTTTCGCACCAGTACACCCGCCAGCTGTCCACCAGCCCACCACCCTTCTCGGTAACCTACTCGTCCGCCTACCCAGCACCAGACGCTGTAGCCTACTCCATGCCCTACTCAGCCTCACCCTACCACACAATACCAACCACACTCACCACCGACATGCCAAGCTACGCCTACCTACCACCGCCGCACTCGTCCTCCTACTCGACTGGACTGCCAAGTCTGGTGCCCGCCATGAAGACCGAGTACTACGCCGAGGAGGACATGAGCCCGTTTGGTGTCGGCTACGCGGCACTTGGCGGGATCGAGATCCCACCACCCCACTCCTATGCACACTCAGTAAGGCTCCCTACACGCCAGCCCTACTACGCATAGACTTCCAGCTCTTCCGCTCGCTGCTGCTCTTCCTTCGCCGACCAATCCACTGACCGGTTCCGGCAGATGACGACGCCACCACTTGAGCACTCGGACATGGACTACCCAACAACACCAAACTCCATGCCACGAACGCCTCCCATGCATCCCATCTCCTCTGTGTAACGAGGGTGCTGTGGCGCGGATTCTTTTACCTTCTCTTCTCCGAGACTTGCAGTCTCCTGTCTTTTATGAATTATTACCCGCTTCTTCTCTTTTTTATTCTCTTGTTTTGCATCATCAGCGTCGGTCGTTTAGGAAAGGTTCCCTCACTTAACCAGGGAGGTTGGGCGTTAAGAGGTTGATTGTCTTTGTTGACAAAGTCTGTTTGGTTACGTACGACTATTACCTTAGATTTCACCATAGGGACGTGAGCTTAGCGCCAGCGCAAGCCTGAGCCACGGTGACATGGCAAATGAATATTATTATTACCATCATCTGATTTTTTTTGTGCATGTGATGACAAGCGATACGTGATGCACGCTCTTGCTCACCAACGTGCGTACATACTTGCAATAGGTATGTTGCGACGGACTGGAATGGTGAGGTGGAAGTGTCACGACCGTGCTCCAGGCGGTGAGATTGGCCTTGCCGCGTCTCGCGACGCCAAGCCTACAGCGACGCGTCGCAGTGTTCCGGTTGCGCGCGCCAACGTCAGCGACAATTATCCCCCCAATTGCAACAACACCACTTGCACTCTTCTATGGCTCCCATTAAACGCTCCAAGGTAGACAAGGCACGGCAATACCTCTCTGGCGGCGCGGTGCTCCGTGAAGACTCGGACGATGAGCTAGGCTACGAGGACCACCCATGGGAATGGATCTACCAGGACAGTGTCGCCGACGATACCCAGCCGAATCAGAATGCGACACCACGGAAGAGAAAAGCAGCCCCCGAACCGCTGGGAAGACACATAGTGGGTGCACGCATGGGCAGTTTCAAATGCAAAGTCGGCGACGCTGTCCTGCTCAAAGCAGAAGGAAACCAAGCATGGGTGGGCATCATCTGTGACTTTTACGAAGACGCCGATGAGGACGAGAAGATGGCAAAGTTCCTATGGTTCTTCTCCGAAAAGGAGATCCGAAACCAGAACAAGAAGCGCACCGATTTCCTTCCTGTGAGCCTATTGACACTTCGTGCACGCATGCCTGCCGACTAATTGCAAAACCAATAGAACGAGCTGTACATATCGGCTGCATTCGACGACAACCCGCTGGCCTCCATCAACGGTACGGCCAAGATATATTCCCTGGAGCGATACCAAGAACTATACCCAACAGGGGTTAAGAAGTCCTCCAAGGACTATGGCAAGGTATTCGTCTGCAGGAGAGGCTGTAACACACGAACGACGACATATACACCCGAGTTTAGGTGGGAGAATATTTACAACAGCGCCGAAGATATTCAAGCCCTGGTCGACCTGGTCGAGAGCCAAACAAAGGCCACAAGGAAAGGTCCGGGTCGGCCAAAGAAGCAGCTGCAAAAGGACCTGGATGAATTCGTGGTTCCAGATGCAGCGCATGAAGGCCAGCCCGAAACTCCGCGGAAGCGCCGGAAACTTTATGATGCGACTACGCCCACTTCGACCAAGAAGAGTCCGGCAGCCCGCAAATTCCTTACCCCATCACACAAGAGAATTGTCGTGAAGAAGCAATTAGAGTTTACCCCCCTGGGGACACGCGTACTCGACCCCTCTACCCTAAATTCGCCGTTCCAGATTGCTCGCAATCAACTCCATGTATCGTCAGTACCGGCCGCCCTACCCTGTCGGGAGGAGGAATTCTCTACCGTCTACAGCCACTTGGAGGCTGCCATCACTGAAGGATCAGGGTCTTGCATCTACATCTCGGGCACTCCGGGCACTGGAAAGACGGCGACGGTGCGTGAGGTCGTGGCACAGCTGCAGGCGTCGGTACAAGCCGAAGAGTTGGACGATTTCATATTTGTTGAAATCAATGGCATGAAAGTTACAGACCCACACCAGTCGTACTCGCTGTTATGGCAAGCACTGCGTGGAGACCGGGTCAGCCCGTCTCATGCATTGGAGCTTCTGGAGCGCGAGTTTTCGACTCCGAGCCCGCGTCGTGTTCCTTGCGTCGTCCTGATGGATGAACTCGATCAGCTGGTTACGAAGAACCAATCTGTCATGTACAACTTCTTCAACTGGCCTGGGCTCCGGCACAGCAGGCTAATCGTCCTTGCTGTAGCCAACACAATGGACCTGCCTGAACGAACGTTGAGCAATAAAATTAGCAGCCGGCTCGGTAAGTTCCAGCATCTCTATTCTACTCCCAAAATGGCCCCACACACCGAAACGCTCTCTTGTTCCTAGCCACATCCACATCCCCATCCCCATCCCCATCCACATTCCACATTCCACATTCCAAACGCGGGCGATCTTCAACGGCGTGCACATCACAATTATGCATATCCATTGCATGCCACGTGACCATTCGTATTGCTTACTGCGCCGGCAAGACTAACACGCTTCCCGCCTAGGCCTGACACGCATCACTTTTCCGGGCTATACGTACGACCAATTGATGCAGATTATTCAATCGCGACTCCAAGGTGTACCAGGAAATATTGTACATCCTGATGCTGTTCAATTTGCAGCCCGCAAAGTTGCAGCTGTTAGTGGAGATGCTCGACGCGCGTTGGACATTTGTCGAAGAGCGGTAGAAATCGCCGAAACCGAGGCCGAAATCAAATCACAGGACCGAGATAATGAAGTCCAGCCGGCTACACCAAGTAGGTCCGGCCGGAACAACAAAGCTAACTTGGTTCCAACCTCGCAGTCAATCACAACTACCGGAGAGCTGGTGGGTCACAGGGCAGATCAGGCTGGGCATTCAGCCCAACGACGGGGCGTAGTCACAATGGTGACGATCAAACAAGCAATCAACGAAGCAACGAGTAGTCCCCTGCAACAGGCGTTGCGGGCTCTTCCGCTGGCTTCCAAAGTGTTCCTGGCAGCACTCTTGGCAAGGATACGTCGCTCAGGTATTGGCGAAGCGGTGCTTGGTGATGTTGTGGATGAAGTAAAGCGATTGGGTCTCATGAGCCAGCTGCGACCTGTCCATGAATACATTCTCGCGCCAGAGAAGGACGATAGAATAGACGGAGGAATCGGCGCGGTGGTGCAGCCATCGACGCCGTCGAAGCACCGTGACGCTCCTAACATGGGCTCGAAACAGTCGGACCTCAAAGCTGCGAGAGCGCTTGGTCTTGCGCATGCAGCCACTGAACTCGCTGAAGCAGGCATCATAGGAGTGGAGGCCCGGCACGGCGAGCGAGTGGGTCGCGTACGGCTTGGTGTTGGCGAGGATGAAGTACGGCTGGCGTTAGGAGACGATGAATCTGTACACGGCTTGGGACTAGGTGCGTGATACAATTCTCGAACCACATCTCCACCAATTATTCTCTGCACAGCGCATTCCTCCGGGTTGGGGCTACTTGTACAAGGATATCTTTTTTTGCTTCCCGTGAACCAACGCCTTGGTGTTTCAACGACCAACAAAAGGATGCGTTTTTTGCGAAACCCTCCCGCCCTGGTCATGTCGTCCTGGGCTCCCTTGTCCGGCTAGCCCCCAGTCGCTGTTGCAATCGACGCGCATGGTCCAATGAGGTACTTCGCAGATCTACCGGTCAGAGTCGAACGGGCCGCCGACCGGGATCAATCGAGCGAATACATTTATTTAGGCGATCTCGTCGTATATTAGCCGTGTCCTAACCGTTGCAAAGCCACAGGTGGCCTGGCTTTCGCATTGCTCGTGAAATCCACTACTTCAATACCATGCGATTGCGTCCATGCTTTACGCCCCCCCTCAAGCATATGCCAACACGCCTTGTGTGCAATCCGAAAAAAAATCGGGCAGGGTAAAACAATGCAATCACACCGCAGATCTTGAGTTTGCCTGCTAATTTGTGCAACGCACACGAGACCAAAACACCACGAATCAGTCGCCGAACTGCTTTCCCTGTTTTCCGGTCTCAAACAGCCACGTCGGCGATTTCACCTTGCAACACATGAGGCTTTGACCCCTCCGATTCGCATGCGTCTTTGCCTCCCTCGCATTCACCACCAAACCAAGAAGGCGAAAGAAGAAAGAGAGAAAAAAAATACGCCGCAAGTCCAAAACACCCCAATATGCCGTTGATTCAGCCCGACCCTTTCAACCCCCACTCTTTCCACCCCCAAATCCCCATCCTTCCCTCTTCCCACCTAGCCTTCCCGCACCAAACCATCGAACCACGCGCCTTAAATCATGATCCTATTTTTTCTTCCCAGCCTTATTCAAGTTACCCCCCCCCTCTCCCTTCCATAAGAACCACTAACTCACTATATTAAAACACTAGTTTTAAAAAGGGAAAAGAAACATCATGCCATATTCTTTTTGGACACCAGATGACCTTACCACCCGTTTATCATGACCCTTCTTTTTTTCGGACAAAAAAAGAAGGTGCAAATAATCTAAACTGTTGTTCGGTTCATGCAAGTCCGTGTAGCATAAACAAGGATGAACCCTTTTTTCTTCTCTTGTATTCGCTTTTTCATCGCCCGTTTCATATATCTACTTTACTGCCGTTTATATACCCAATCTCAACTAAGTAAAGTGAAAAAGTAAACGAGAAGAAAAAGAGAGAGAGAGAAGCGGGTAGGGCGAAACAGCCACACATTGCACAAGCGGGAAAAACGGATAATGCAGCCAGCCGCTGCTTGTGAGCATGGGTCTGGGGGGAAGGGGGTCCAGTTTTATCCCGTCTTTCTTTTAATACTGCATTTGCTATGTGTACTATGTTTTTTTTGGGAGGTGAAGGGTTGAATGGATTAGATTAGTCCAACGGGAAGGTGGCTCGCAAGATACCGAAGAGCAGCGGATCGGACTAAGCTCCGGGTTTCCCTATACTCTAACTAGCTTTTTTGGGGAGGAGCGGTGGGAGGGAGTTGCTATATGCCGGCGATTAGGACCCCTTTTTTTGAAGCTAGGAGAGAGAGAGAGATGACGACGGGATGATGATGTTATGCCGATTTTTTCCCCCTTCCGCTCCTTCTGGCATCGCAATACATCGTTCTTTGTGTTTTTTCTTTCAGCGAGGTAAGATAAGGGAGGGGGGGATGCCCCGGGTACTGGGTTCGGGACTTGGGGGAAAGCGCAAGAGTGTCAGAGGTGAAGGGGGAGGCTAGACGGTTTCATCTCTTTTCTGAGATACGTGGCGTGCCGAAGGGCTGCGGGAAGGGAGGGAACGGGGGATATGCTGGAGGTCTGTGATGCGGTGGGGGGGAACGGGAGGGTAAGGTAGGAATAAGGTTTGAGGATACGGACGTAAGTACATTTAGGTGTAAGGTAGGCTTGCTTGCGGGTTAGTAGCCCAGCGGAGCTTTTTCCGCTGGCTTGGATGGGGTTGTTGGTGTTGTTGGGTGGGGTGGGGGGAGATGAGAGAGCATGTCATGGGCCTAGTATACTAGGCTAAGCTAAGCTAATGAAAGTCGAACCGCTTCGTGAGTCTTGCTTGTGCGCTCAACTGGGGAATGCATGCTTGGTTGGTTGATCCGATTTGTACATGTCTGCGAGAGTGAGAGACGTGTTGGTTCATCTAGCGTTTCAATGTCTCGTGCATGTTGTGTAACACAGGTTGGACACATGACGTGACGAGTGACATTCTTGCCTTCTTTGTCCGAGCATGTTGTGAGAGAGTCGTGCATGGTCTAGTTTATTTCAAGTATCAATGCCGTGTGTTCCGTGGAGAGAAAATTGAGGCTTGAGATACGTGTCTGTTATGGCGTGGACGGAGATGCTCGGTGGATGAAGGTGTGGAGGCTAGAGTCGATAGCGTGGTTTGGATGGGTGGCGAACTAAGTTGTTTGGACAATTCAGTCAAGGGAAAAGATGCACGAGGTAGTTTGAGAAGGCAAGCAAATGTTCAACTAGATAGATAGCAAGATCAATTATACACATGTGAGAGAAGAAGAAAGATGCCAAACATCTACGTATAACCCAGGAAATTCTAAAAAGACAATCCGAAAAGCGTGTTCTCCTTCTCTTCTGCTTCAGGTCTATCGTATGCAGAATTTCAAAGACATCCCTATGTATAATAACATACATGTCCCAAGAAGAAATGGTGGGTAATGGGGTATAATTTTCTCCAGAGGAGACACAAACCAACCCTTGAATAACGCCCAAACCTCCCAGTCTGAATACCCATATCCTATACATTTCCCATGCCCTATCATGTCGCCGCTGCAGGAACGACGACAAGTTTCTTTTTCACAGCCCTCATATCACCAATTGTGCCCTCTTTCCCCTGTCCTCTCCCTACTTCAACCACAATCATCCTGACAAAGTCTTTACTGAGCCAATAGCTACTGTGCGCACCGAGCATAGTCAAGTACTGAATCTCCAAGGGTCCACCACCATATTTCATGTAATAGTCAATTTGGCCATTATCGTTGAGAAGGTACATTCTCTTTTCTGCAATCTCTTCTCGCGTAAAGTTGTGAGTTTCGAGCTCGACGTTGCTGGGTAGGCGGGCAGTGATGGGTTTATTGGCTGTGGCAGAGGCGGATTGCGACGAGTTTGAGGAGCGGAAGGGATTGAGCGAGGAAAAGTACGACGTCGAGGCGGAGGGGATGGTGGCTTGTTTGAGCATCGATGCGTAGACAATGTCGACAGTTGGGTTGATGCGACAGGCGACGGGATCGTACGGGTTGATGATGTTGTAGATGTTATCTACTGCGAGACAGCCATATGTGCCTTGTTCACCGGCTACGCCTGGTGCAGCGTACAAGTCTGCGCCGGGCTTCTCCTTGTCGCGGCGCGGAAGGAGGTTTGCGTTCTTCATGAGAAGAAAGAGACCGACTGGACTACCACAGACGAAGAGGTCGGTTGTGTTGAAGATAAATTGGTCTTGAGGTAGGTCGGCTTCAGGAAAGGACAGCTCTGTAAATTGGGGATCTACATAGGTTGGTTGCTGGCTTAGAATGTCAATGGCCATTACGGAGCCAAGTGAGTGAGCGATTAGGTGAACCCGACCGTACTCAGCGAACCCAGGATTGTTTTGACACCACAGACGATAAATGCGGTTTGCTTCTTGTATACAGGCTGATACCATCTTGGGGTTGTGCAACGGCGAGAGATAGTACGGAATGTCGAGCATCACATCGCTTACAATACCACGAACTGACGGTAGAGTATCCGGAGTAATGTCTTTCAGTGTATATTTATTGGCAGAAGGGTCGTCTGGCTCTTCCACTTCGGTGTTGTCGACATCCAAGGAGACACGATGTCGCCAATTGACCTATATCTGTTAGTATATTGTAGGTCAAACTGCCGTCCACAATGACTTACTGGCAAACACATTACGCCTCCCATATCCTTCCGCAGATGGCGCTTAACATCCGGCGTTCCAAGTTCAACATTCATTTCGCGTCGAAAAGAATTCATCGCGTGCGTAAAGTGAAAGGTTTCCATCCTCTCTGACAGCTTCTGCCCAATGCCATGTATTACAAGCACAAGATCAGTCACCTTGGGCCTTTCGGACAGCGCAAGGGCAGGATCTGACTTTTGTCTCTGGTACGGCGGTGCCCCAGCTTGCGCGGTTGAGACACCTTGACGTGCCGCTTGTGCTTTTGGCGAGTTCTTGCTTGGATACAGCTTGTCCCAGATGGCCTGGTCGAACCCACGTACGACATGAACACCAATTTGCCTTCCCTTGCGGATGTAGTTTGCGAGTGGTCTTCTGCCATAATAGTCGGACGGCTGGAGCGCAGGTTTGAGAATAAAGGCTTCTTTTTCGTTAGAATATATCACACCAGCTTTCAAGTAGAGACGTTTCCGTCCGTCAGCTCCATATTCGAGGTCGCCAGCTGCTTTGTGATCAGGACCGTCAGGGCCTGTGGAGATGTCAATCAGGTCACATGCATTCTCAACAATCTCCCGCCGCTCTTTCTCGGGATCATCGTCGTCTTCTGGCAACGTGTTCTGAACCAGGCTTGTGGATTGCATTACTTGTGCCGAAGTCGACGGCCTACTCTCTGACTTCCTAGGCTTTTCAGGCCAGAGGTGGTGCAGAATCTTCATTTCACCAAAAGCGCCAACCTCGACGGCACTGTTGAGTTCGTCCATCCAGGTCTGCGTCCAGGGCTTCATTTCAAGGTATCCGACTTCAAGCATGTTGGCAACTTCCACCTCAACGGGCATCATGCTGTCCTTGTAGAACCACGTTCCCCGAACTATCTGGGCAACATCACTGAGCGGCGACCAGTATATGGGTTCCATTCGTATTGAGTCTGCGTCCATGACTACATGGTGCAGCCTCGAGACTCCAACAGGGACTTTCGCAGATGGGCCTGGCTTTGGCTTGGAAGGTTTCGCGGGCCCCTTATCCT